GTGTGTGTGTGTGTGTGTGTGTGTGTGTGTGTGTGTGTGTGTGTGTGTGTGTGTGTGTCTTTGTAACCAGGCTGACCTTCACATGAAACCCAATCTAGAACTGAGACACAGCTACAGAAAAACGCTGACCGTGGAGAACACAACCCTTTGCCTCTTATTCAATTGATTAGCTGTAACTCATTTTATTGCTGTAAACCGTTCGGCTGCACATTTCTCCGTGATGCTGAGAATCACTGCGCTGAATAAAAAACAAACAGCTGTCACCTAATCACTTTGGAGATGTCAGACTTTATGGTTCCAGTGGGGTATATGCCTCGGGCATCCATGTGTTTGCAGAAAATATCACAACAACAAACAGAACAACAAATACAGCTGCATATACTCCTCCTTAAAAACACAATACAATAAAAACACGAGCAGTGATCACCAACAATAATATATGTGATCGTAAATGTTGCTTCAAGGGACTGTGGTTGTTCTTCCAACTGCATTTAATCAGTAAAAGAAAAAGTCAAAATAACTGCATGGACAAAGTGATTTGTTTGAACAGGACACCTTAGAAACAGATGCAATAGTTGTCTTTTTTCTTGTACGATATTTTAAGGATGAGCTCAATAATTATTCTGCAGTTTTTAAAAACAGATGCAGAAATTACATCTAGTTCAGAAAATGTTCTTAATGATTCATTAAGAACATTTTCCACCTCTGTGGAACAAGTTAGAGGCCAATCTGTTAAACTGATTAATCCATGAACCTCAATTTCAAAAGTGCTCAAAGCAGATTACCTTAAGCAGGTTGTCTTAAAATAAGTACCCTACTCTAAGTCCCAATCACTTCATCACTGGTCTTTTTTTTACCTGATGGGTGTTCATGTTGAAAATACAGACCAGCTGTGTCTCTTCTCTCACAGAAAAAAAACAAAAAAACTCAGAAACAGTATGTTCAAGTGTTCATGGGGATGTGGGAGAACTCACTGCATTAAAGTTGTGGAAGAGGCCGATGCTGGCCGGATGAGGGGATTCCAGTGGGAACTGGAGGAAAGGTTTCATGTCCAGGGGTGGTGGGATGACTGGTGGGCTCCTGAGGAAGGCAGGGACCGGCCCGGGTCGGTTTACACTTCCTGTTGTTGAGAAGAAGAGAGGAAGACAACAGTTCCTTTAAATATCTGAATATCAGTCTGAACCACCAAACAATGAGCCGTGCAGAATGAAAGTGTAATAAAACACAAAAAGCACAGCTGAACAAAAAACATATAAATAAATATAAAATATAATAAATGTGTTTGTGACTGAGCTGCTTATAAACCATGGTTTTAGCTTCTGATCAGTTTTAAGAAACAACCTTAATGTTGATGTGAATCCATCAGCTGCTTTAAATATCAACATGGCAATTTTGGCTACTAGCTTGGTACTATTTTATTTTATTTTATTTTATTTTATTTTATTTTATTTTATTTTATTTTATTTTATCACATGAATCTCTTTCGACATGATGATTGATTTAAGCTTTAATAATAAAATCGGAGGTTTTTCTGCTGTTTTCAGACATAATATCTGTGATTAAACAGCAAACAAACAATTTCAAATTAGTGATTAGATTAGCACAGAACAAACCACATTTTTACAAGTTGCATTTACAAATCATAACATCATCAGCAGTAATTGTAATCACTGAAATTTTAAATAATAGTAGATGCTATTGGTGCTAAAGGGAAAATATTTTTAAAAAGTTCCATTTTGATTATTAATTTAGAAATCTGATGGATTAACATTTGTATAAAATTCTGTCAAAATGTCCTGTACGACTTCTTCCTAAAATAATCACATTTTATTATTTGAAGCACAGAAAAACTTTAACAAGGRCATACCATATGACATCTTTGGAGATTCATTAAAACAAATTCATTAAAACAAAATAAAAATCTACAAACAATAAAAACTAAATACAATTCATAAAAAAAATTCAAATATCATAGGGAAGAAACAATCTTGTAACCCCCACCCTTTTATTCCTGACAAACCTGGAAAAAAAGGACTCAGGTGGTTACTTTAAGAAGGTGTTGAGGTTTTAGYTGGTTCCCTGCTCTTCTGTTAATCACTCGTTCATTTAACTGAGGTGTGCTGAAGCTGGAACACATTTAAAATAGCAGCCATGAATGGTGAGTTGTTTTAGCCAAGAGGCCTTCAGACTGGGTAAATTTATGCTAAGCTAACAGCCTCTAAAGACATATTTAAGGATGATGACAGTTTTTTTAAGTAAACCCACAACTTTATTTGCCAAAAGATTGAAGCTGTTACTTTCAACATCATAAAAACTTGATGCAGTACATGTTTGAACGCACACAGGTTGATTTTTTTCCCCCTCAGCTGTGGTTTTTTTAAAGCTCTACCTCTCCAATAAACCATYCTTTCCTGTGTGGTTTCCAGAGTTGAGCCCCCCCACCATCGCCTCCCCACSCACACCTCTCTTTTCTGAGCTCCTCCTGCTCACTTTACTCCCAGTAGTAGCTCAGCGGCAGTGAATGCCTGCTCTTGAGGAGTCTTCTGTGATGGGCAGGAGGGCTAAGCTCCTTAAGCCTCGCAGCTGGGCCGCTGCAGATATCAGTCTTTTCTCAGTTTCTCTTTCTCTGTCTCTTTCTCTCTGTTTCTCCCAACAAGCACAGTTTTCTGTTTCCATTTCATGGTCCCTTACACTGTCTCTCTGTGTCCTCCCATCTACAGCCTCAGTCCTGCAGCAGTTCTGTTTAGTTCATCCTAGTCATCCTCATCATCATCGTCATCTTTCTCTTTGGTTCTGTTCTTTTCACGTCTGCTTCCTGTGCTGATTTCTCTTTTCAGAATAAAACCAGCATAGAATTTGTCCAATCTTTCTTTCCAGAGATTATGGAGTCAACATTCTTTATCTCTGCCGCTTTCTGCAATGACAGTTTAGTTAAATTTGAAAAGAAAAGCAGAGTGTTTTGATGACAATAGAGCAGGCTCCTTTCACCGACAGCGCTRGCGAAATAAAGAATGTGCTGTCAGCGTCAGAAATAGATGGAGGGGAAACGCTCGTTCTGGCACTTATACTGTTTAAGATCCTGGGAGGCCAATGCAGATGAAGCTCAGTTCTAGGTGTTAGCAATTGTGTTTGAATACTTTAGCAGACACTGCAATTTTTTTTAAGGATGAAGGTTTCCAGAGGGTGGCAGAAGGAAAAATATATTAGTTGAAATGCCCATGAGGCATGCAGCACCCAGAGCCCCTGAGCTCATCTCTGAAGCAGCAACAACAAGGTTAGTCCAAGTTAAAAACCCTGCAGTGATAAAATAAAAACTTCATTCAAAGCAACATTGTAAAAAGAAAATAAGTTCAGTCAATCATCTTGAATNCGTTTGTTGGAGAGAAATTTGTCCAAGAAGCTAAAAGATCAACAATATGCTACAAACAACATGACAAAGGCTGACATGCATAAAAGGGCTTGGACCCCGGTCATAACTGCTTTGCAGTTCTAGTTATTATTATTATTATTGTTGTTGTTGTTGTTGTTGTTGTTGTTGTTGTTGTTGTTGTTGTTGTTGTTTTGTTTTGCTGCTTCCTCATGCAGTGGCTGCAAACTTGCACAGTTTGTCAAATTGTTTTATGCTGGATTACTGATGCAATCTGGGCTTACACCTACAGCCTCACTGTGAGATCATCCTGACCACTGCACCATTACCACTCTTAAAATACAGAAAGGGTGGTTTTACTTTTCTGACAGAGAAAAATGTCTCAAATGACCAAACTTCCTCATCATTTTTAAATGGTTTGATTATTATGTCTTCAGACTTTCTAAAGATCTTTTTAGCGCTCTGGTTTGGACTTTGGCAGATTTTTTGCATTTATTTTCAGTTCACTTAATCATTGTTGTAGGAACTCATCATGCAGGCATAAAAACACAAACTCAAGGAATGAACCAAAGTTGTGTCACCTCATAAAAATCAGATATTTAGGCAATTTGTACAGACAGCCTGTCATAAAGACATAATTTACTCCATTTCAATAAGTGAATCTATGAAAAACACCACACAGTTTGACACCGAAAATAGTATTTTATCACTCCGGTGATTCCCAAAAAGCTCTTGGCTGAAAGTTGATGATCAACTGCATCTCAAGTCCAAGTGTTTGAGATGTGTTTTAGATTCTGCCCTAACAAACAACCCATAATGCATTTAATATGACGTGATCCCATACATGTGACCTTGAATTTCATTGAACAAATTGAAATGTTTCAACATAACATGCGAAACAAAAGCAAAACATGTGATTTACATGTTCATTTTAGCATAGTTTCTAATTTGAAAACAAAAATTTTCATGTGAAATTCTCACGATTTCTCTGTAAAGCTGTCCATCGGCTGCAGTTTTGTTTTTGTTTTGGTTCGTCTTCCACTTATTCACTCTCTTCTCTTTGTAAAACACATGCTGGCATGATCAGATACTAGAACAGGACAGAAAATGAGTGAAAAAGCAGCTAATGTCTTGAGGAAGTTTTTGAAAAAAATCTTGAAATCTTTACGAACTATTGATTAAGATCCCTTTAAAAATTATGGAAAGTCTGGCTTTTTAAAAACCAAAGCATAAACGAAGTGGGACAGTTTAGACACCAAAAGAAATTTGTATGTTGTATTTTACATCATCATAAAGCTTTCATTTTATTTATGGCTATGCAGTTATCTGTAATACAGCTCTTTTTAAATGTTAGCAGCCTCATGATGTATCAACATGAGATCCAAAAGACCCTTTCAGTAGTTACCTTCATACTGTGAACATGTCATTTCACAGAACTTTATTGTCCTTGCTCTGGTGAAGTCAGGCAACAATGAACAGATTTAAGTGAGAAAAATGTGACAGTGATGCATTATTTTGTGGCGTGTGGCTGGTTTATCACCTGCTTTAGTGTGATACTGAGCAACTCAATCAAATCCAACATCCTCAGCCTGTCAGCTGCTCTCCACCATGATTCACCACTTTTTAATTGATTTTATATGCTTGAATAAGGCCAGGATTCAATTTTTATTCCCAAAATAGCTAAAAAAGGCTAAAAAACAGATAAGCTTGTATGCTATAATAAAGAAATGTTTCTCATTTTTGCAGACTACCTATTTATTGTAACATTTTTTGTCAGCTGAATTCCTAAACGTTTATGCTGTTTCTATATTATGATGATAATTTTGCACAGAATTGTCATAAAATAAAAAAAGATACGTTTTATATGCATTAAAACGTGAGTTAATCCCAGCAAACAGAGGAYCAGTGATGTCTCAGCTGGGTGGATTAATGTTGGTATCATCGCTGTTTCCCCTTTGGTTAATGAAGCCTATTCCCGACATGCTTCTAGTAAATCTGCAGCTCTTTTTACGCTACATTACGACTGAAAGGTCAAAGCCCATCTYCTATAATAAATCTCTATTTAAGATGCAGACACGCACACGCAGGAGTGACTTATTTAAAAGTGTCCCACTCGTTCTTTTACAGTCGTTTTCTTTTTTCTATTCTTTTTTTCCCCTCATCTCCTGCGCCATCCCATAGCTGCTCAGTGTGAGTTTGGCAGCATTCTCCCCCTGACCTACCCTCCTCCTGAGTGATTTACAATGACATCAGATAAGAGAACGCAGTGACTCCTCGGCAGCAAACACGCCAAGAGGGAGAGCATTGATTGGACACATTCTGAGGAGCGTTAAAGTGTTAAAGAGCTGCCAAACTCAATAAATCTAAGGACCCTGATATCTACAGCTTCACTCCACTGAAATGAACGCCATCCTACTGACTCTTCTTCCACCCCTCTTCTAATGCAAATGTTTTGGTGATAAAAAAAAAAGATCAATGCCTGTGTAATAGCTTATTGAATTTGTGTGTGGATTGTGAAAAAGGGCCACTGGTCAGAAATGAAAAGATGTCGAAGGGGAAAAAAAAAAACAATCAGAAGATTCTTAGCATCTGAATGTCCCCAACCACATCACGCTCACAGAGAGACAGGCACAAACCAATGTGATGTGACTAAGGCCTTCTAAATTGGCAATTCATTTAGCCAATTTAGCTTTAATGATCATAGAGGTAATGCCAACTTTGGTGACGTTCTATAGGACCCTCTCAGTATTCCC